TGAAACCATAAACCCTAAACCCCAAACCCTAAAAAACTAAACCCTAAACCCTAAACCCTAAGCCCCAAACCCTAAACCCTAAACCCTAAACCCTCTAAGCCCTAAACCCTAAACCCTAAACCCTCTAAACCTATCAGGACTCCAGAGTGCTCCTTGAGGGCGTTATGAAGGGCTCCTCAAATTAAACGATTTAGGGTTTAAGGGTTTAGGGGTTAGGGTTTAGGGTTTAGGGTTTAGGGGTTTAGGGTTTGGGTTTAAGACATAGGGTTGAGGGTTGAGGGTTCCCATTACAAAAAATAGTCCTTAGGGCACCTCACCATTTTTGGTAGAACATAGAGGCCCTAGTACTTACCTACACTATCTTGGGGGTTTCGCTAGGACCCCAAAGCCCTATTCTACTTATTAAGGCCCCTATATTAAGAGTCTTCTCTACAAAATCCCATTCTAAAATTTCAGCTGCCCTAAGCCCTAAACCCTAAACCCTAAACCCTAAACCCTAAACCCTAAACCCTCTAAACCCATAAACCCTGAACCCTTGAGGCCCCTTTTTTAGTTCTCGTCATCGGCACACCAGTACCGAGGTGAAAGCCTTAAAGCCCTCAACAGCGCACGACAACCCTTCAAAGCTAAAGCCCTAAACCCTGAACCCCATCTTCGAAGCCTAAACCCGAAGCCCTGAACCCACAACCCTAAACCCTAAACTCTAAACCCTAAACCTAACAGAACCCTAAACCCCATCTTCAAAGCCTCAACCCTACACCTCAACTCTACTTGAGAACGTCTTCGAAGAGGAAGTTGGGTTTAGGGTTTAGGGTTTTCAAAACCCTAAACCCTAAACCCCAAAGAACTTCCCAATGTTCCAGGCTTCGAAGTTTGATTTACTGCTCCCGCCACTCGAACCGGGGTTTCAGAAGTCCTTATCATAGAGTATTCTAAAGAGCTTTTAAAAAAGAGTCCTGTTAAACTATGCCCCCTTAAACCGTAGACCCTAAACTCCAAACCGACAACACTCCCACAAAATCTCTCACTAAAGCTTCCCTTCACGAGGGGTCTCTCTCTCCCAGCGCCGTGCGCACGAGAAGCCCTTCGGGAAGAGCACGTTCGCAATTTGGCAGACCTCAAAGGTAGGGTTCAGGGTTTAGGGTTTAGGGTTTGGGGAACGATTTCAAGAATAACAACAACAAACACAGCAAACGGAAGCAATGGCAGTAGTAGTAACAGCAGGAGTGGAAGTAGCAGTAGTAGTAGTAGTAGTAGTAGTAGCAGCAGCTGCAGTAGTAGTACTACTACTACTGCTGCTGCTACTACTACTACTACTACGACTACTACTACTACCACCACGACTACTACTACTACTACTACTACTACTACTACTACTAGAAGCAGGAGGAGTTCGCATACGAGGGTTCGGGCGTTCGGGGCTCTGCGCCGACACTGGACTGAAGGGACACCTATCGCAAAGCCGTGCCCAAACCCTAAACCCTAAACCCTAAACCCTAAACCCTGTTTAGTGTTTAGGGCTTAGGGTTCAGGGTTCGGGCCGGTAGAACCGAAATCCGGATCCTGCAGTACCCGAAAGAAGGAATATACCATAATTCCCATAGTTTAGGGTCCTGAAGGTAAACCCTAAACTCTAAACCCTAAACCCCTAAACCGTGCCAGGATTTATATCATCAACAGTAGGGTTTCGGGTTTAGGGTTTAGGGTTGAATGTAGGGGCCTAAATAATTAGAATAGGGTTTTGGGCCCCTTTATACTATACTTAGAATACCCAGACCACCGGAAGGATTCACAAAGTAGATCCCCTACGGGGGGGGTCCTATAAAGTACCTCTTAGTAGTATAGGGTCCCAAATTAGGGGATCTACTTTTTAGATCCTTCCGGTAGGAATCGTATTGGTATTCATTTAGGCTTCTATATGAACTCAAAGATCCGGAAGCTCCCAAGCCGAACTCCTGAACCTCAGCACGGTTTAGGGTTTAGGGTTTAGGGTTTAGGGTTTAGGGTTTAGGGTTTAGGGTTTAGAGTTTAGAGACATTGAACCCCCCGTTCTGCAAGGCCCCCCTACCCATACGACCGGAAGGATCTCAAAAGTAGATCCCCTAATTTGGGACGCTATACTAGTAAACTTTAAAAGACCCCCCTTATGGGATCCATTTTATAGATCCTTCCGGTGGTGTGGGTAAGCAACACCAGTAGCATCTTTAACAACCATTTTTAAGTTTGTACTATGATACAACTGAAAAAACCTCTCCTAAGGAGAATCCCCCCAAAAAATGAAACAACCTTCTCGAGCCCTCCCAAAACCGTTTTCGACCCTTCGAAAACCCTCATAAACCCTCAATTCCTCATCTTCGGATCCGGGGCACTTCTCCTCCTTGAGCCTCCTTCTTGCAGAGCTCTTCCAGCTTACCCCTGGTTGCGGCAGAATTTCCTAATGCGCTCTTTCAAGGGACTACATGAGCGACCCTTAAAGGGACCCTTGGGGTTAAAAAAGGGGCTTTATGGGTTTAGGGTTTAGGGTTTAGTTACCCTAAACCCTTAACCCTAAACCCTAAACCCTAAACCCTTAACCCTAAACCCTAAACCCTAAACCCTATAAGGGGTATATAAGGGTTATATAGGGTATTAGGATTATGGGTCCAGCCTTGGGGTCCCTCCTACTGTCCCTGAACTCTTCTTCAACAAAAGAGTTAGGGTTTAGGGTTTAGGGTTTAGGGTTTAGGGTTTAGGGTGTAGGGTGTAGGGTGTAGGGTTTAGGCTGTAGGGTTTAGGGTTTAGGGTTTAGGGTAAGTTTCTAAGGCAGACCAAATGTATAAGGACAAAACTAAAACGTTCAAAGCTCTCCCGCTGGCTAATGTAGGGACCTTAATAATTAGAACAGGGTTTTGGGGTAATTATACTATAACTATATAAGGAACCCTCAAAATACAATAGGTAATTATTTAGACTTCTATATTATCTAAGAATGGGTTCTTCCACTAAGATTCCTTCAGCATGCCCTAAACCCTAAACCCTGAGCCCTAAACCCTAATATCGGGTTTAGGGACGAAGGCTCTATACCCATAGACCCCAATGCCCCTCAATGCAGGGCCGTACTGGGTGCCTACCAGGGTTTCGGGCTTCAGAGAAACAGAGCCTAGAATCGAACCCTAAACCACCAACCCTAAACCCTAAATGAGCCCTAAACCCTAAACCCTCAATCCTGAACCCTAAACCCTAAACCCAAAGACTCCAATATCCCTTAATTAACGAATATGCCTTAAATCATATTACGGATCCTACTATAATTTAAGGTATATTCCTTAGTTAAAGGATATTGGAGTCTCTGGGAACCCTAAAAGCCCGCCACAGTCGAAGGTCTTTCGTACCGCGCTCTCTGGGTTCGGGGGGCTTAACTTCAGCGCTTGTGTAAGAACTGAAATACACACAAGGTGTTTAATTACCCGTGGGGAGTCTTATAAAAAGACAACATACTGTAGGGGTTAAAACTGTTAGAATAGGGTTTTGGGGGCTCCTTATTAAAATTACAATATAATCTACCCCAAACCCTATTCTAATTATAAGGCCCCTATATATCATTCCTAAGAGCTCTACCTGCTATAGTTGAAGGCTTCGGGGTTTCTATACCGAACTTGCAACTCGTGAAGAAATTCCGACTTTAGCTGTTTCTTAAGGGGCCGTACTACCAGAAAGTTGCAACTGGTCTCCAAGTACCCCGAAGCTTCAGGGGTTTAGCCCTAGACCCTAAACCCAAAACCCTGAACCCGAAACCGTAAACTCCTGGGCCTAAAACCCCTAAACCCACTCCCTTAAACCCCTAGACCCTAAACCGTAAACCCCTAAACCCTAAGCCTTAATATAGGGACCGTAGTGTTGGTAATTATTGAGGCCCCCA